TTCGAATTGGCTTCTACTAGAAGATAATGATCCAAAAAACAAAAGTCGTCTCTGCACCGCTTGGAAAGAGGGAAATGGCATTCGACAAATGGACTGGCCGCCACAGTCACCCAATTGCAATCCGATCGAGAACGTTTGGGCTATTATTAAGGCAAGGCTTCATGGTAAAACACACCGCAATTTGAAGCAGCTCAGTGCATTCATACAACGGCAGTGGAAGGGTTTTCGACGCGAATATGCTGAAAATTTGAGCAAAAGTATGCCCAAAAGATGTGCCCGTGTGATCGAGAAAGACGGTGACTGGATAAAATATTGATTGTGCCCGCCGTAGCTTAGAACTCGAATAAAATGTATATAAAAATAATTTTGCAAAACTAATGTATTTTGTTTAAAATATGGCGTTCTCTGGACGATGGAACGTACTGTATTTTCCTGTAAATTTGTATATTATGGTATATTTGTATATCATTTGAAAGGTCTTAATTTTTCTCAATTACCTTCGCAAACTTCAATCCCTTCAGCACGCAATAGTTCTCGTAATTTTTGAATTTCCTCTTTGAGTTCACGAATTAGTTTAGCATTCGCATCTTCATTAACAATAGCTTTGCATACAATTTGTTTAGCTCGATCTGCATATCTTTAAGAGAATAATTTCGATTATTTAGCAATTCTGAATTATACTTTTGATTCTTTCCACTTGCATTCACGAAATTTATCTGGTTCAATTGATTTCTCATGACATTTATTATTTAATTACAAGAAAGATGCTACTAAGAGAAAGTGCTTTCCTAAAACAAATTTCTCACAAGCTGTTAAATCCTAGTTAAAACTATTGCTTCCACATCCCATTTTAGCAGTCTTTGAAAACGATTTTTTTATTTTTTTAAATTTTTCGATTCCAATGGCTCTAGGGATTAGTAGTAGTATATATTATAAATGGATTTGGAGCAATTTTTGCCTTCGGTCCAATTTATTTGTGAAAGATTTTCAGTATTGCACCAAAATTTGGAGTCCAAATTCGTTATAAATCTTTTTTAATAGTTTTTCTATTAATTATGAGATGGAGAACCATTGGAATCGAAAAATTTCTATAAATAAAAAACCTAAATTTCTTAGGGACCTTTGTAAATGGTTGAATACAAACCGGATATTGAATGTAATACACAGTAAGAAAATATCAGCCGACGCTATACGCAAAACGGACTGGTACGTGCGCTCATACTTTCGACTGATTCGTTACTCTTTGTGCGTATCTTCGCACAGTCGAAAAATCGTATGGTAATAGATGTAAAATATGTAAAAACGTATGAGCGCACGTACCAGTCGGTTTTGCGTATAGCGTCGGCTGATATTTTCTTTCTGTGTAAAATTGGCAGTTGAATTATCAAAGTGGAAAGTACGATTTGGCCAGAAAATGGTACAAAACGGGCAGTAGTATTTGTGGCTTACCTTAGTGTGCTCAATGTTTCGTCATAGTTTATATCTGCTGGTGATATTGCCGCAATCATTGCAGTTTTGGAATTCCCGCCAAGATTTTCACGTAACAACCAGGTTAAAACTGAATCACGGTATGGAATGAAATCCGTTTTTTTGGATTTTTTACTTTTTGTTGCCTGAAAACAAAACCCAAATAAATAAATGATAATCTTCGATGGTTTTTTTACAGAAACAAGCATAAATTAAAAACTGCAGTGTTTGGAACCATAACTTACCGACTGGTGGTGACGAAGTGAATGTGTATGCAAATTGTAAATGTAATAATGAGCATACAACGGATAATTATTAGTTTCAAATGGAATTTGAACATATAACATTCAATTGACATTGGAAATAACTTACAATTTCTGCTAATGCTGATATAACTTTTCCAAGAGTTGTTAAACTTTTATTAATATTGGCTCCTTCTTTAAGTCTAGTTCCTTTAGCTCCAGTTGAATCAGCCCGCTCCGAACCAGCTAAATCAACCAAACTGATTTTTGAAACTTTTTCAGTTATCAAATCGGTCATTTTATCATGTCTTCGCTGTGTAAAGAATATCGTGAAAACCGCATGAGATCTAGAACTGGTTTCATTCATATTCGTCGCTGCTACAGTACGCGCTTTATTTCCCTCATCTATAAGGTCATGTATGTCTTCGTACGACGTGACTGCCAATTTAGAGAGATCTTCGACATAAGGCCCCAACAAAGGGTGTTCGCGAACTTTTAAATTGCCTTTGTTTTTCGGATTTAATAGGTCTCTAACGCGTTCACAATAAATTTCCATGTACGATACTTCAACTGTATATTCCAAATCAGAACTTGTGGTTTCTTTAATTCTTCGGAACAAATCTTTACACAGCATTGGTATTATTCCTTCTTGACCTTCTGATTCTTGTTTCCCCATCATTGTATAGGACTTTCCAGCTCCCGTTTGACCATAAGCGAAAATACAAACATTGTATCCATCAAAAGAATGTTGTAACATCTCTTCTCCAATGTCTGTGTACACCATAGACTGCGTAGAAAACTCCTTGTCTAGTGGCTAATCACAAAATTTAATTAATTGTTATGACATTTTGATTCACAATTTATTATTATTTATTTACATTATGGGACCAGTAGGAATAATCAAAATTGAAACGTTTAATAGAGTCGCTAGTACCAGACGGTACCTTTGGGTTTGTAATCGCCGTTGTAGCCCCTGAATAAAAATGATTATGTCAGTTATTCCAGATGAGATTTTTATTTTTCATAGTCAAATTAACAAACATAGTTACCATTCATTTCAATGATGCATTTAGATTCACGAGATATTTCTCGTGAATTAAATGGTCTTACCCTAACTGCAACTTTAACTGAAGACATTTCAACTGCAATATAATGTTATTACTGAGAATGATTTTTCCAAGCTAACAGGTTTATAATTGTACTGACAACGAAATCTGAAAATATTGTGAAATTTATTTAGATAAATTTTATTAAACTTGATTTATTTTCGATTCTCTAATAAATTTTCAAATTTTAAAAACATTTCCTTTCGCCATGCTTATTTGTTATTGTTTTTCATCGATCTAATAGACTTCTTAAATAACTAATAAATAGTAGTGTTGTTTTTGATAAATAATTGTTTAATCATAAATTATATTATTATCATAGATTTTATTTGTCTTTTAAAGATTATGATCATAATACACCTAAAGTTTTTTGATTGAATTAAACAAAAAAATGAAATGATTTATTTAACCATATGGAACATAATCACAAATTATGTAATTTTTTTAAGAAAATCTTTGAAGTAAAGCATGAATCACCTTCTATTATTGTTATGAAAGCATCAAAAATCAATTTCTAGTTAAACTTTACCTGTTATATGATTAAACTTTTACAAACATTTGACAAAACTTTTAACCGAATATATTAGATCTCTTTAAATCGTGAAATTTGAATAATTTATTTATATTTCGAGTTGTTTTATTTTTGGAATATTCTATGAATTTTATTTTTTGTTATTTTTCAGGCGAAATTTTTTATACCACTTCACAGCAATAAAGGGTGAGTGAGCGTATGATTCACCATGAAACATTCTGCTCAATCGCAGTATGATGATAGTGGTAAAAGTAAAAAAAAAATCAACCGCCCTTATGTTTTTATGCATTGCGCCTGTGCATCATTTTCATGTGATGGCTTCCAAATAAATTATGTCCAATGTCATCACAGTCATAACATCGTAAACATATGTCATTTCGAATAGAAGAAGAAAAAACAACAACATAAAAGATGACTTTTTCAAATTTTTGTGTTTCAGCTGCTTCTATTTAGTCATTGAGTCATTTTAAGTACTAATATTAAGTATTAAATTCGCTTAAATACTTGTCACTTTAGTTTATGTTCTAGAATTCATTCTTCTTCGCGTTATTTACCCGAAAATATATATTAGGATACAATTTTTTTGACGATATGAACAATAAGTGAGTTATTAAGAACTGACAACAAACATTCTCATAATATATTTGTTTTATTATTCTCATTTTGGAAAGCATAGTGTCTGAAAGCCGAACATGTGAAAATGGCATGCAGTCGCCAAGCAAAGGACGATCATTGCGTGAATTTGATGAGGAATTGCATACATTAAGAAAAGAAAATTTCAATTTAAAACTCAGAATTTTTTTTTTGGAAGAAAAAGAGAATACTAAAAATCATATAGAAAATAGTTATGAGCGAAATATTGAGCTGAAGGTATTAAATAAATTAAGCAATAAATAAACACAAAGCAAATTCTTCAATTTTTCAAAAAAATTTAAGGTTGAAAATGAAGAGTTGAAAAAAGAATTGGAGGCAAAGCAAATTTTACTTTGTGAAGCTGCAAAAGCCATCGAGGAGATTGAAAATATTCAGAAAAAACAGAAGAAGAATTTTACATATACACATGAGGAGGTATATACGCTAGTTTTTTTAAATAACTTTGCTCTATACTCTGCTTCATACACTATGTTTTGATAAATTTTAGGTATCTGAATTAAACACAATTGACACAAACCTTAAAACAAGGATATATGCATTGGAAGCAACAATAAAAGCTAAAGAAAATGACATCGAAGAGCGTGAAAATATTATAGAAACACAAAAAGAAACTCTTCGAAACTATGAAAAACTAATAGCTCAATATGAAGTAAAAAAACTTTAAATGTAAGTGCAAAATGCATCATTATTTATATAATTTACTTATTTCAGATGGAAGATAAAGCACGTATAATACAAGATTTGCGAGAAAAATTGGTAACCAAAACGCGAGCACATGAAAAAGGATGTAAAACGATTCAACTTTTGTTATTGAAAACTCGTGAATTGGACAACGATGTAGGTCAAACGATTCAGGTTGATACTGGAATAAAACATATATAACTAATATTTTGATTTCTATTATTAGCTAAAAGGTTTTAAACGGTTTAAAGATGAAATCAATAGAATGTGTAATTATTTGAAAATGCGTTTGCATGAGCTTGCTGGTTTCCTTAATTTATTGCTGAAACATGGAGGCGAACATGATCAACATAGCAATATTCAAAAAGCTATCGAGGAAAGTTTAAACTTATCGAAACATTTTGAAGGTAAGTGAATTTTCTGGTACAATTTTTTTTGAACGAGTTTAACCTTTGATTTTTGATTGAATTGAACAGAACATTCATTTAGCGCAAATTCAATACTGAAGGAGATTAATGACAAATTTTTACCCCTGACAAATCAAGCTGTCATCGGCTCGAAAAATGACAAGTGCTCATTGGTATCTTAATAATCTCCTTCTTTCGAGATCGAAACTCTTATGAAATTGCATTTTTTCCCGATAATTTTCAGATACTCAATATGTTGCATAACGAGTCAAAATCGATAAAATCTTTCCGACAAACGATATTTTATAAATTTTCAATTGATCTGGAAGCGTTGAAGAATGAAATTATAACCAAGAATTTGGTGCCACGATGTCGGATTCCGGATTCAGTTTTAGATCGAACAAAATTCATTAAAGAAGGAAACTGTTTAGAAGTAATGGATGAAACTAATAACTTAAACACACCCAAGAACATCAAGATTGAAGAACATAATTGTGGTATGACTTTAACTAATAAATCTCAAGTTTAAGCAATATTGTTTGTTCAAGCGATTTCAAATTTAATTATACTTTACCTAAACTCATTTTTTTCTTTGAAATAATCTCCTATATTTTTCGTATTATTTTTTACAAGATAATCCTATACAAATGCTTTTTTCTGGTAATTTTTAGGTATGCTTGAGATAGAAAATGCTGAACTACGGACCAAACTTGAACGAACAAAACGTGCTTTCGAGAAGACCTGGGCTCAACTACGATTTTCAAATCAACGAAAAGAACAAATTGCGTCTGATATTCGGCATGAAATTTATAAAACACATTCTACATTAATTGAAGTAAAAAAAAACATTGAAACAAAATGCTTTGATTCTCCATAATAAAACGGTTTTAGATTATTATTTATTTTTATTTTACATCAATGTATTGTTTGAAATTCTGTTTTGTCGAACTGTTGTGTCTTTTTGCCGAAAATAAATGCTTTTGGTGGTGGAAGTGGAATTAAAAGCATTTGTCATTGATGCTGGAAACATTGAGTTTAGAACAAAATTAAATCCGTTTACCTGAAATATAATAAATTATTATTGAGCTAATAATTAAATACAAATCCGCACGATTACCATTTTAATGCAATTTTTCTTAAACCGATCACAACCAAATGCGCGTATAGCTCTAGAAAATCCAAACACTTGTGAATCAATCCAGGCTGATCGAATGGCAATAGTTTTATCCGGTTCGGTATCACTGCATTTATAGACAACTTTTTCAACCACGCTCTAAGGATTAAATGACATACAATAATAAGTTTTCATAATTTATAAATAAAAGTTGTTAAAAAAAATTGTGATAATAATTTGTTATGAGTTTGTCATTGTTATTTAAATAGAGTACATTATTTCGATGAAAATACAAACATGGCAAAACTCGGTAGATGGTAAAGTGTAAATAATAAATGTTACCTTACCATAACCTTCATAAATGCTATATTTCGGGTATATGTAGTTAAAATTTTTTCATTAGGATCACATATTGATTCCTCTACAATTTTGACGGACTTTGCATTATAGAAGCGTTCACCCCATTTTGGCACGTGATTTGTTTTCGATAGTAATCTCTTGCTATATAACTTGCCATCTTGAATAGAGCGTTCTAATGTGTCTTCCGTTAATACATGCTGACTGAAGCAAATAAATTAAATAATGAATTAATTCTACAATATTTCAAAATTATAAACACACATTTTCTTAAGCTTGATTTACCTATGTGGATTTGGATATCGATTCCAAAATCCTTGAGCCACTTGATCCCATTTGAAATTAAACACAGTTGTTGTTTCATAATATTTTGCCATTATATTGTTTTATTTCATATCAATTATAAGAAATATCAATTTTCTCGTCGACACGAGAATGTATTGATTAAATGACATTAAATGTCAAAGAAATCAAAATACGCATGTTTTGACATAAACATATTTTTTTCACTGACATATGTGCATATTTGACGTTTTTTACTTCATTATATTTATTTAGATTTTCAAAAATAATATTAAAAGAAATTATGTTAAAAATTCGAAAACTATCCATGCAGTTAGCAAAAAAAGCACAAGATGAACTAAATGAAAAACCCTCTGAAATGGAAAATCACATAAAAGATCTTCGAAATTGGATTCTTAAACAACCTTATTTAATAGCACGAACAGGTAGCATTTGACGAACTAATAGTCAAAAACAATACAGATTCTCGTTATATTTTCCACAAATTAAACTAAATTTTAACTAATATGTACACACACACACACACACAAACACAGATGATCAATTTTTGGTCACATTTTTGAGGGGAAGTAAATACAATCAAGACGTTGCAAAACAAAAAATAAACCTTTTCTTTACGATGAGAAGTCTTTCTACAGAGATAACACAAATGCGAGATATTCGATTTGGAAAAAACGCCAAACTGTTAAAACTCGGGTAGCACTAATAATTAAACTAAATAAATAAAATAATAATAATAAAATAAATACTGTAATATATATATATATAATTTGAAGAACAACCATTCCATTGCCAATGCCACAAAGTTATGATGGACCTCGAATCATTCTGATTAGGCCAGGAGCATACAATCCAGAAGAATTCGACATTGTTGATGTATTCAAAATGTACATCCTTCTAACGGATTTTCTTTTGGTGAGTATGGATGATAATTTCCATCCATTGAGTAAATAATGTATAAACATTTTATGAGTTTTTTTGTTTTTATTCAGATGGAAGATGATAATTTTGTTGTGTCGGGGCAAGTGGGAATTTTGGATCTCACAAACGTCACATCTGCACATTTTGATCAATTTAAACCAGACATTGTAAAAAAAATGACATATCTTTGTCAAGATTCTTTACCTGTTAAACCGATGGGATTTCATTACGTGTGTTGCCCGGATGGTTTCGAATTTATATTCAATCTATTCAAGTCTTTCATGGTAAGTAGCTTTTTGGCATTTGAACGACATATGAAAATAACATAAATCACTTTTCTTTTATTTATTTACATAATTTTTTTTATCAGAGTGACGAATACAAATCTTTGGTAACGTTAATTTTGATTTTTTTTAAATAATGTATTAAATTTTACTTTTACTTTTAGCTGTTTGTTCATGGACAAAATTTTGGAACGCTTTATAATCACGTCCCAAAGCAATTTTTGCCTACAGAATACGGTGGAGATGCAGGAACAATCGCTCAGTTATCTGCGAATTGGATGAAAAAATTATTGGATAATGTTGACTCACTCAACGAATGGAACAAGTATGGAACGAACGAACTACATAGGCCTGGCGCCCCAATAACGGACGAAACAATAAAATTATCTGATTTCCGTATTTAAGGGACAATTAATTGGGAATTTCTGTGACAATAAAAAACTATGAAAACATCACATTTATTTCATTTCAATAATAATAATGATGATAATAAAAATAATATTTGTTTTTTTTTTTTGGAACAAAACATAACCATTGTAAACGCAGTTTACAAGTGACATTTACCGAAAATTGACAGTTACCACAAACTTACTTGCGCACTAGTCAAATAGTTGAAGGAATAAACATATTCTTTATTGGAAAACAGTGCAACTGTTATCAACCAAACAAATATTTTCTTATTTAGAAAAATAATTTGAAAAAAATTCAAAAATTAAACACCAACATGAATATGAAGATACCGGATTTTAATAAGTTAGTTAAAGAGGCTGGAAGTACACTTTCACGCGTCGTTCAGGTATTAGACTCTCCGACTATATCTTAAATAATTCGAAAGTTTATGCTGCATAAAAGCCAGACTTTAAGGACTAATAACCTTGGTTTGAGATAAAACATATTTGTTTGATAATTTAAGAAATAGTTTTGATGAGCGTTAAAGGTTTAATGGACTGAATTGTACGCCGCAAATAATAGAACAGAAAGTAAAATTATCTGACTAAAAAAATATTTAATGTTGGATTTCTGTGACAATAAAAATCTATGAAATTGTTTACTTAAATAAATTAAAAACGAGTCAAGAATAATATTGACCCAAAGCAATTCAGCTTACAGATGGTACGGTGGTGATGTAGGAAAAATTGCTCATTTGCTTATCGGTTGAACAAATTATTGAATAATTTTGACTTACTCAATGAGAGTGGAACAAATACAATTGAAGTGAAACAAATTCATGTTTTCATCTTATATTATTAGAAAATTAGTTTTTGCTTAAAACACACATGTGTTAAATATTCACAAAAGAACACACTTTGTATCTCTTATAATCAAGTGGCAACTGTTAAATTATTCAGAGTTTTCTCTCTTGAAGCATATATAACAATTTTTTGAAAAAATATATCAATAAATGCTTTTCAAATGTATTCATAGCTAACTGAGGAAAAGTTGGGTACTGCAGAAAAAACAGAACTAGATGGTCATTTTGAATCTTTGGCTGATCGGGCCGAAAACACCAAAATTTGGACTGAAAAACTGTTACGTATGGCACATATCGATTATCTTTCTTCTTACAATTATAATATATTTATTCTTATGTGATGTTCTTTCCAGGTAATACTGAAGCAGTTTTAACTCCAAATCCAGGAAATCGTGCAGAAGATTTTATCTTTGAAAAAATCGAAAAGAAAAAACCCACCCGTTTGAGTAACTTAGAATATTTGGGATTGGATATGATTGAAGTATGTATATATATATATATATATATATATATATACAGGGTGGCGCATATAATAGGCTCACTCTTAGGGGTGGGAATTTTGAAAAACCCTTTGAGGGGGTATTTTGGGGGTAATAAATAGAAAATTTCTATTTGAGCAGAATTTTGAATTTTTCCCCAGGGGGCAGGGATTCTAAATAATTTCTCACGTCATTCTGAACAATTTTGTTGTACATTATTTTTTGATCGGATGAACTTTTGTAAAATTGGGGGCACCCCCACCCCCCTGGGGAAAAATTCAAAATTCTGCTCAGATAGAAATTTTCTATTTTTTACCCCCATCATACCCCCAAAGGGTTTTTCAAAATTCCCACCCCCTAAGAGTGAGCCTATTATATGCGCCACCCTGTATATAACTTATGTATAAAAATAAGCCATGTCGAGGTGAAACAAAATTTCCTGATATCAAATTTGTGACGAAAATAGTCGATAGATATTATACATTCACAAGGCAGAAATTCCTACGAAGTCAATCTTTGAAAAGTCAAATCCATACTGACTCAATGAAGTATTTAAACTAGTATATTAAGAATCTATTTATCAGAAGTTCTGATTCAGAACACACGGAAAAACTATCTACCAACTATTTTCGTCAGACATTGATATCAGAAATGTTACGTTTAAAACTTTGGTTTTGTTATTCCATTTCACCTCAACATATTTTTTTTATTTGATAACAATAGTTTTGTAAGCGACATTTTCCAAATGGAAGATTCAAGACATCACGCACGAATTCGAATTATTAATATATTATAAAATACAGAGATTGCATTTTATGTTCAGAACATGCTCTTGAGCATTTCATATGATACAAGTGACCATTGGATAGCTTTTTGAAGAAAGCTATACATATGTCCTTCTAGGTGCCCATGAAAAAATGCTACTTTCGGACATATTTACTTTATCAAAGACCACATGATTGTACGAGAATGAATGTGAGACTCTACAGATATTTCATTAAAGTGTATTCATATAAAGTGTATACATATTCTTTGAACCCTGGGAAGTAGAACTGTATATGGGAACTTTTCTCGGTTCGCCTGTACAGACTAACATGCTTAATTGAGGTTGCAATATTCGAGTCAAAAATCTTGATGTTAGAATTGGCGTTATACACACGGCCACTGAGGCTAGACACTTTGACAGAAGATTGATACCTCGTTAGAAATGTATTACCCTTAACCCTTAACTATTTGTTTTTAACATAATAGAGACTTAAACATTTTTTTTGCAAAAGAAGTGAAACAAAATTCAAAGTGCATTCAGAATCGAACGAATTAAATCCTAGCTTATACAATTTGTGTGTGTTGATTACATTTATTTCGGTTACAAGTTCTTCATTCTTGTTTGACCTGATCAATTTTTGCTGGGCACATATAGCCGATGGCACTTCTTTGGAGGTCACCAATTTCATTTCTAACCAGTAAAATACTCAAAGTGTTACTAAAAGTTTTTGATAAAGGGCGGGGGAGTACCCCACCATGTCAAAATTTGGTCGGATCAAAAAATAATATACTAAAAAGTTATTCAGAATGACGAGAGAAATTTTTTAGGATCCCTGCCCTCCAAGTCGGGGGTTTTGGCCGCCCTGAATGACCTAATTCGGAGGGCGGGGGTCAAAATAATATAAGAATGAACCCTTGCCCTCCGAATGGGGTCATTCAGGGCGGTCAAAAATATTTGAGGGAAGTGGGGGCGAATCGACGCGTTTCGCTTTCGAGACTCATATCTCGTAGGTCAGTTTGACTCTAGGGGAAAGAAAGGTAGCATTTGAAAGCTAGTCTTAATACGCAACTTTTGTGGAAGAATAAGCCTGCCAGATTTTTTTTATGTCGATCCGGTCCGGATTTTCCGGGCAAAGAGGTAATGTCAAATGCCTTTATAAAGTCCCTAACGCAGTTTCTTACACTCTTTTACTCACACAAACACAAAACAAAATGTCAAGAAACAGCTGTTCGAGCTAACTATTCATAACCAACTTCATGCTACTTGTAGATTTGGAATGAAAATGATGTTTGAAATTTCTTTGATATTTCGAAAAATGAACTAATTATTTTGGAATTTTTTTATCTGTTTAGAATAAAATAAATGTTTAAACATTTTTTGTACTTACAATATTTTAAACATTCACTTATTATTTAATTTCCACAATTTCTATCAATTCACAAATTATAATTCTTAGCATTAGCATGTCAACCTTTATTCATTCGTATAAAAACATATTGTGTTCACGCACACATAAATGTTGGGGACTTTTGACAATTCCACTTTGCTCTAAGTCCGGGTGAAATCCGGGCGATGCAACTCAAAATTGTTAACTGAAAATCCGGGCGGAATCCCTGCAAAATTAATTTTTTCAACCAAAACAAAAATATTTTCCTCAGAAAATCTTTGAAATATTTTTCGATTTCCACAAAAATGACTCAACAAATGATGTTTTTATAGTTTTTGATAAGGGGGATTTGTCGATATAAAAAATACAACAAATTCACACATTTAAAAAAGAAAAAAATCCAAAATTATTGAGGTTCCAAAACACACATGCGCGCTGGGGGGTTTTCCGGTTTTTTTTTTCAAAATTTACCCCCGGCTAAATTTTTAGTAGATTTACCGGTTTGACCCCCCTCTGGGAATTTTTTTTCTCAGATTTACAATATACTATAAATCAGTAATGTGCGAGGAAAATTTTTCAGGGGGGGTGGTTTTTCGAAACCAAAAATTTCTCTAGCAAATCAGACAAATTTTGGTTTTTTTTGGAAGTCACTTTTTGACGCGAAAATCCCAAGCAAATCGAAAGAATTTTCACCGCGAAAAACCCTAGCAAATCGGAAAAAATTCACTCGGAACCAAAAAACCTAGGAAATTGAAAGAATTCTCCTCAATTTTCTACATTGATGAGCTAAAAAAAAGATCTTCACTTTTAGAATCAAAAACCCTAGCAAATTCGAATAATTTTCGCGAAAAAAATTTTCTCATCCAAATTGGGGGGGTTGTAAACCCTCCCCCCTTCGCACATTACTGCTATAAATGTATAAACAATAGCAAATATACACTGATTTTGAAGTCAACACACATTTTCTCTTGTTTCTCTCATGCAAAATTGTTATTTTAGTTTTCCATATAAATATCCAACCTCGAGACCAAAGTCAATTTGACCCCCCTGATCAAAAAACCGTGCGCATGTGTGTTCCAAAATATTCCAAATATTGTAAAAAATCCGGGCGAAATCCGGAAATTTTCTAGCATATACGGGCATCCGGGCCGGGTGAATTTTCATCCGGGGTTGGCCTCGAAAATCCGGGCGAATCCAGAGGTGCGTGTCGTTGGCCCCCCCCCTTATTTTGTACCAAGACAATTTATATGTCAAAATTTAGTGCTAAATTTGTGCTCCACAAAAATACCATTTTTGGAATTTGTGCTCCTCAAATAACTGAGCACAAATGGTCCAAACACGAAAAAATCAAAAAAAACGTGTTTTTTGTATGGGAAATTTTTTAAAGCGGGATTTTTTTGGGGATTTTTTTTTACAGGGATTTAGTGCTAAATTTGTGCTCCCAAAAAATACCACTTTTGTACACTATGGTCCCATAGGTTCGGAGCACAAATGGCTCAAAAACGAAAAAATCACGAAAAACGTGTTTTTTGTATGGGAAATTTTTTTAAGTGGGATTTTTTTGGGGAAATTTTTTTACAGGGATTTAGTGCTAAATTTGTGCTCCCAAAAAATATAACTTTTGTACAGTTTGGTTTCATAAGTTCGGAACACAAATGGCTCAAACACGAAAAAATCACAGAAAGTGATATTTTTGTATGGGATTTTTTTTAAATGGACTGTTTTTGGAAAATTTTTATGCTGTTTATAATCTTAAAAATATCAATTTCTTCGAATTTTGATGAAATTGTTCGAATCTTGGTTCGAATTATTTAAAAAAATTTACTATTCTGAGTACATTTTTGTACAACTCATTGGGTCGGACACATAAACCCTTATAAAAGTGTTATCAAAAATCAAATGATTTTTTTGGGTTTCGGGATTCCTTGGATCAATTTTTACTGTTTGAAAAAGTGAGGTAGGTTTTCATGGTGAATCCAAATATGTGAGGTAAATGGTGACACTTGCCCAGCAGTTTGCCCTAGGGGAAGACACGATTCATATTATTCATTGTTATTTGGATTTATTTGAGTTGATTTGAATTTGTTTGACAACTTATTACTGAATTAAAAAGTCAAAACATCAAACTCCACTTCGATGACTATTTTTTATAAAAGCAAACTAAAACATTTTTTTAGTATAAAAAAATTCAAGTATGCCGTTAAAGGATATTGCATTTAAAAAACATAATTAGACAATAATAAATCTCATTGCATTTTTCAATTTTTTATATTTTTGCATACGATATTCATGCAAACATTTACAGTCAACTTCACTGCAAAGTTTCACACAAAATGTCACGTGGTGATTTGAAATGATTCAATGTTATTCAAAATTATTTTAAATGATTTCAATTGATTTTAAATATTTCCAATATACTAATTTACTCTCTAGAACTATTTTGCTTGAAGATTTGATATTTTCGTGATGATTCGTTCTATTTGATGTCTCCCCCTAGGATAGGCCTTGAAGTATTTCGATGGTTTTCGACTAGTTTTGAATCCATCCCACGAAGATGGCACAAACACTCCCAAACAAAGACCTTCCATATAAAAACAGACAACAAGTGTGGCCTTTGAAATTCAAGTAGGGATATTGTGGTCTGAAGGAAAGTGCACGTACGTTTTTCATATTAGTGATTTTCCAACGAATAAGTAACCTACCAGTTGATATTATGAGTAACTACTAGTAGCTATAGAGACAAGAAACAAAACTGATAAATAACTAAAGAATTCAATTCAAAATATGGAAGGAAATTATCATATATTAGCACGCACTTACGTCAAAGCTAACTTGGTCGAGTCGAAACAAAACATATTTTCTAGTTTGAATCGGTTAGAATATTCGTGAGCTTAAGAAATTGGTTAAAGTAAAAGAGCAATATGTCCATATGTTGTAATTCATAGAAAATAAAACATCAAATCTATGTAGAAAAATACGTTTTGTTTCGCTCTGATAAGTAACTATTTATATTCTGTTTTTATTCTCGAGAATTCAACTGAACAGTTCGCGTTTGTTCAGGTTCGTTCGAAATATAAAAAATCTGTTCATGTTCATTCGCGTTTAGTTCAAATTGTTCAAAATGTGTAAACATGCCGTTCATATTCGATTCAAATTCGAATGAACCGAACGAACATAAACGGTTCAGTTCAGTGGGCACCTCTAATGTCCATATAAAAAATGTATGGTCACGTTGCAGTTTTATTTTGACAAATTTCTTGAGGTCACAAATATTCTAGCCGGTTCGTTTGTTCGAAGGTTTCCTGTCAAAATATTTCCATATAGCGTTTCCAGATATTGATTCTTATCTAATTCAAGGATTTTGGTTTCGTTTGGGCAAAAGCTGGAAGACTGCATTGAATCTGAAGCCATGAAAATGGCTTTTTGACCAAGAACTCAAATAAAAGCAAATATATTTGTAAACGTTTCATATACAAAGTCGCATAATCTCTTCATAATCTCTGCAAAGTCATAGTGACAGAAAATTTGAACGAGTTCTTTCAGCATAGCACTTAGGTTTAGTCTATTTCATTGATGATTCCGAACTTCAGGACTTTCCACTGAATGTGGCCTTTACTCCATTAGTCTGGATTAGAAACACGGTCAAACATTAAAGACCATGACAGTCATGGTATGACTTAGCAGATGAGGCAAAGTACATTCATGGGGTCACTACTGCCTGTAGAATAAGGGGAAGCTTATCTATACGGCTCAAAACTTGTAGTTGTCAGAACTGGCAAATCTCATATACATACGAACAGACAAAATAGTTTATACAAGTTATTTACAAGACACCTTCAAAGACGATCCACACTGTACGGAAGAGAAGTGGAAACTACAGCTTATCGCATAAGCATCGTTGAATTCTATTCAACATTGGACATTGTTATACACAGTGTGTCGCAAAGAAACGTAAACTTTAACGAAATATCCCATATTAGTGGTACCATCTATAGAGGGGGATATGCGTTGGAAAGGTCCATACCTAATTGACATCATGTCAAAGTTTCATGAGGATCGGACAACTAACAGCCAAGTTATTGCGTCTTAACTGACAGTGTGTTTTTTTCATCGGTCGAAGGCCAAAAATTGAACACGGAACTGTTATATCAATTCGTTCTCATCGGAAAATGCACTCGTTGGAAAGAGCTGCAAACTAACAAAAAATAAGCAAATGCAATATTGTGAAAAAGTGACCAACTGTCTATTTCATATATTACTGCACACATCGTTATGGATTATTCATATAGAGGTCCCTAGTTAACACTAGGGTCATCCGAGCACATGTTTCGAGGACGAGCTCTAAGAAATTCAGAGAAAAAATGAAAGTTTTTGCAATTTTGACTTCTTCCTAATGATTTTGATTTTTGGAGCGTAGCACCGACATAGTACCTCGTGTCTTAGCTTCGCTAACTTGTAAACAATATAAACAAATGGTTTTTGAGATGTCTAATTCAATCAGAATTTCAAAATTTAACACAGAAGTTCATTATTTTTTCGTTTGAAATTCATTTTTCGACCGATGACACAAACATACTGTCAGTTAAGACGCAATAACTTGGCTGTTAGTGGTCCGATCCTCATGAAATGATAGTTGTACGCCACTTTCATCGTATATGTTCGCTGTAGTTCTATACTCGATTTGGTTGTACAAAAATGAGTTGTACAAAAATGTACTCAGAATAGTAATTTTTTTTAAATAATTCGAACCAAGATTCGAACAATTTCATCAAAATTCGAAGAAATTGATATTTTTAAGATTATAAACAGCATAAAAATTTTCCAAAAACAGTCCATTTAAAAAAAATCCCATACAAAAATATCACTTTCTGTGATTTTTTCGTGTTTGAGCCATTTGTGTTCCGAACTTATGAAACCAAACTGTACAAAAGTTATATTTTTTGGGAGCACAAATTTAGCACTAAATCCCTGTAAAAAAATTTCCCCAAAAAAATCCCACTTTAAAAAATTTCCCATACAAAAAACACGTTTTTCGTGATTTTTTCGTGTTTGAGCCATTTGTGCTCCGAACCTATGGGACCAAAGTGTACAAAAGTGGTATTTTTTGGGAGCACAAATTTAGCACTAAATCCCTGTAAAAAAAATTCCCCAAAAAAATCCCGCTTTAAAAAATTTCCCATACAAAAAACACGTTTTTTGTGATTTTTTCGTGTTTGGACCATTTGTGCTCGGTGATTTGTGGAGCACAAATTCCAAAGGTGGTATTTTTTGGGAGCACAAATTTAGCACTAAATCCCTGTAAAAAAAAATCCCCAAAAAAATCCCCAAAAAAATCCCGCTTTAAAAAATTTCCCATACAAAAAACACGTTTTTTGTGATTTTTTCGTGTTTGGACCATTTGTGCTCGGTTATTTAGGAGCACAAATTCCAAAAATGGTATTTTTGTGGAGCACAAATTTAGCACTAAATTTTGACATATAAATTGTCTTGGTACAAAATAAGGGGGGGGGGGCAACGACACGCACCACGAATCCAGATGTATCCGGGCGATCTGGCAGGCTTATGGAAACTTTTTTGTTTTAGTGACTCCATTCCACGTTTGTCGCTCTAGAGAGTTAGCGTCGGAATAAAAGTGCGATGTCATTCCTTACCAAATATGGCCGACATAAAGACGCAATTGATAAGTTATGACATTACATAATTTGTGTTGTCGTTCAAGAAAAATAGCGACCGTGTCGATTCGCCTTCACTTCCCCTACCAATGGAAACTACATTAATATGCATTTAAGAAACTTAAATGCCCAGTTGACTCATAAGAGGTGAATATCCCATTGTGAAGTCATAATGAAATGGGGTGTTTTCACTTTTCGAGCCGAATTAAAGGTTCAAGTTAGAAGGAGTGAAACATAGGTCAAGAGAGATCAAGGGGCGGAGATGAGTGAGACTCAAACATGTGCTTCTTCTTCAAAACAATACATACACAAGCATCACATGTACAGCAGAAGTCAATAAGTATTCATCACAGACACAAAGCTGAGGCGCGCGCATGTATTTGTGTTTGCACTGCTGTTATGGCGTATACTTTTGATGTTTGTGAGTTAGTGTGTATGTATTGTTTCGAAGAAGAAGCACATGTTTGAGTCTCACTCGTTTATATGTAAATTACATAGGCATTTCCAGGTCATGAGAGAGATTGACAATGTATAGGTAATTTTTCACAAGGAATCCGAATATGTAAATAATTTTGGGGTTAGATGGGGTAGGAACCCAATTTTGGGGTATTTTTCGAAATTTCCGTGAATATTGTAGGGGACCCCCCTTGGGGGTGATTGGAGGGGGTGCCCAACGGCCTAAATGAAATGTGCGGATATAATTAGTTATAGTTGGCCATACATTTGAGTGCGAAATTCCGGACCCAAAAAGTGGAAAATTGGATTTGTAGCATTTGACCTCAATGAATTATAAGAAGACTTGGGGTGAATGGGCACGAGACAAATATCATTTCTAGGGTATTTTGGCATACTGATTCCAAATTTCGAGATTTTGAGTGAAAAATCCGTGAAGTCAGATTTTAAATAACTTTTCTGAGGGGTGAGATAATCGATGGACAAATTTTGCGAACGGCGGACAACGTACGACGTGGAAGCGACCCACAACAACCATACTCAAAACGGCCTGATTCGGGTTCTCTGACCTCAGAAACGTCCAGAAAACATGTTTTTGAGGTGTCGTAAATTTTGACCCATTGCAAGTGTGTGCGGAAAAGTAATAAATCGTCGTGTCTACCGGCATTCACTCTGTGGTATTCTGTCAAAGAAATATATCAAATATGTATTGAATATATCGATAGGAAAGTATGTTTTTATTGAGCCATTACTCAGCTATAAGTGCTGAATAACATAGCTCTCATTTATTCTGCTTCGTTAGGGGTTTGTTTTTCGATACTTTCAAAATTTCGACTCTTCGAACAAACACATTTGTTTGTAGTGCGGGTCTTTACGAACGCGAAATACAATTACCACTTTGCAAACGAACACGTTCGTTCATAGTGGCCTTTTTTAAGAACTCGAACCCAAAATTTCAAATTTCTTGATGTTCAGATTTATTTCTTTATAGGAATAATACAAAAAATACGATTTTTTATATTTTATATTTATTTATTCACCGTCTGATCACAGACTGATTTTATCACAACTATTTACAATATCATTTGCAATGAAACACTACCCGATCGAATACCAGCCGCCAGTCTTTTCGACTTCGGAGCAGCAGATATCGACTGTGTCCATATATATTCATAACACAATTTTTCTTAGTCTATTTTACCGAATATTAAATAACAAATTGTCCAATTTAACAATACTAATTCTAAAAATGCTTCGCGATGCTGATTCCAAAAATGTTTCTCTTATTAAATTAAAATTCCTACACGCCACGTAAAATGGTTGACTATGTGCATATTCAGCTGTAAACGTTCTTACTCTAATAAGTTCAGTATTTCTTAAGTTTCTTTGGTTTACGTCATATTGAAGTCTTGTGTAAACAATCTTATCTCTAAGTGAACTCGATACTATTCTACCCAATAAGAGATCGTAAATTAAAAATATAGAGGCATTTATACGCCGTCTCCAAAGCGGTTGAATATTTAAAGTATCACATTTAAAATAAT